TGATTATCTTAAAATTAGAATCTAGACCAGCTCTTTCCAAACAGAATATTTTTCCAAGTCTTTCCCAGTTGTGTGGCAGTGACAGCAGGAAAGTTGATCTGTGTAACACACATCTGCTGTTCTCTGTTTTAATCTTCCCTGTATCTGCATGTGTTGTACTGTCTTTAAAAGATCTGTGGAGATCTCATACCAGTGATTTCAGCTGTTCTTCAGTGATGTTTCACAGGAGCAAATGGGCAATTTGCTAATTAAACAATTATGCTAATTGTCTACCTTTGAGATCATGAAAGTTGAGCAGATGCTTATTGATGCTGTTTTTTCATGGGTAATTTTGAAATTATTTGACTTTTCTTTTGAAATATAAGGGCTTAAAAGCTATAATTCAGAACAGTACAGTTTATCAGAAAATCATACTTGATTATATAAAAGTTGTTTAAAAGGTAAAAACATGTTGTGGTCTACTCTTTTTCTTAAGTTTTTAATCATGAAAGCAAGACGAATACTATAGATAAGCTCTCCTGCACACCACTGAAATATCTCTCTCAGCTTTTCCTTTGAAGGAAGAAAACCTGTACCTTTCCCCAAAGATGAATTACCTACTTCAGGGTGTGCAGCTGCAGTGATTGCAAATCCAGTGGTAATGAATCTGTTATTTTGCAGTCCTTTCTTCAATTTGGTTATAATGGTCAGATTTTCAATTCGAACAGTGTCGTTTCATGTTAATGACTGTACCACCTAAAGACCTAGGGACACTGGCCATTTAAAAAATACCCCTATTTAGAGTAATTTTAGTACATAAATACATATTATGCACATTTAAATAATTGTGATTTTTTTTCCTCTGTCTTTTCCCCTTCTAGACATTGTACTAAATTAAAGGTACAGCTGTTTCGTGCCTTTTCTTTCCTTGATGGGTGAAGACATTTTAGAATAGTTTTTGCAGGCATGCCTGTGGTGGTTCTGCTGAATGTCAGGAGAGATTTGAGCTGCTGTCCAAAATCCACTGTTTCTTAGTGTGGATCTCTGCTCCCAACAGGATTTTGTTTTAGTGTGAGCCCTGCACTGAGGCTGTGGCAGTGATGCTTCAGGAGGAGACCTTTGGGAAGCACTTGGATCAGAGTTTGTGCATGTCTGGTAGCTGAATAAAGTGGGACCAAAGGTACAGAAAAGCTTAGGCAGAGGTTTTGAGTATCCCACAGGCAAATCCAGCACAAGATTGAGAGAGCAGTTCATGAAGAAGATCTGCACCTCCTCTGTCTGGTCTGGTACTTCAGATTAAATTCTGGGTGAAGACTTTATTTGGGCCCTCAGAAATCTGGAGCTTGAGTTCTTACATTGATGACTGCAGACTTGTTCTTTAACCCAGCTGCTATTCAAGCTCATGCGGTGAGAACACGCAAAGAACAATCTGTGACACCTGAAATTACCAGGTTCAAAATTATCCTTACCAACAGAACAAAAGAAGACCAATTGTTTTGAGATCAGAGAAGAGTAATAATGTTCTCTGACTGATGAAAAGTTCACTGCCTTGTGAGAAGTAAAACAATTCCAAAAGTATAACAAGTCCTTGCAAATGTACTTTTGAATTGCAGTGCTTATATTCCACAAAGCTGATGCAGAGCAGTAGGAGAAACTATTTTGCTTGGAACAAGGTAGAGTCATCTGCAGTGGAGTGCAAATGGGATCAAACCAGGAGAAGGAGAAATTAGGCTGCGTGTCAGGCAATCTGAACTAAAAGAGTTATTTGACTGGGAAAGAGCTTCCCAAGGGAAATAATAAAAGCCACATTATTTGGGACACCTAAAATTAGACTTCAGAAAGCACTAGAAAAAATGTACAACCTTGCTTAGGAAGGGAAGTGGACTAGAAAAGGCAGGGGTTTGGATTTTCTTTTTTTTTGTTTGCAATAAATTCTATAATTGTTGGGCTCGATTCTGTTCTGTGATATTTAAGTCAAGGTAAGATTTACATTGCTTCTTGCCTTAGGAAACTGAGATTAAACAAAACATACAGGCTTCTCCCCTCCACTTTGCCAGCCTTTTGAACTGTATCTTTTTATTTCTGTCCCTCAGGGATAGTTCAGACCCCTCTCTTCCAATTATAGATATGCATATTTAGAGGGGTGGAGAAAGGGCACATGTGCCTTTAAGGATCCTTTGTAGTATTTCCCTCTTACCTGGCTCTTACCAGACACTGGAACTGATCCATATGATACTCCTTTTTTTGGTTTTAATTCAGAGTTTATTTTGATTGTTATGTGGAAATGCATAAACTTGGCATGTTCTGAAGTTATTGTGTGAAATTACTCACCATGGAGTTTTTATATATATATATATATATATATGTATGTATGTATGTATACATGTTTGTGTGTATATATATAATATATATGTAATATAGTGAGGGGAGAGGCAAATGAAATACAGCCTTTAACCAAGGAACAGAGGCCTCCAAGTAATGTGTTGATATATTGAAAGTGCTGCAGCCTTCTCCATATTTTTCTTTCAATACAGTCCATGTGATATTGCTGCAGTAATACAAAAGAAGTTATCATAGCCAATCCTGCATATTAAAAAGTGTAGATTGTGCAGTCATGACTAAATGTTAAGAGTCAAATGTTTTTTATTGTAAGTTAGCTTGAAGATTCCTGTCTTTATCAGCATACACTGTCTACTTGTGAGATGGCAGTGCTCCTTTCAAAGCCCACTTGAACAAATAGAACCTCTATGGTTCTTCATTGTGTAGGCATTACCCTATAATAGTTCTGGTATAAAATTATGAGTTATAATGTGCACACAAAAGCATACCAAGGTCAGGACATTGAGCCTCCAGATTTGTGGTAAGAGACTAAAGAAGGCATGTCAGCAGGATTTTCTGAAAGATGGTTCATTTGTAGAGGGTTTGAAAAAACATGAGAGGAAAGCTTTATGGTGTCTCCAGTATTTCATTCAAGGGCTATATGTTATAGCCTCACAGAATGCATTTAGCCCCAATCCCCCTGGACAGAAGTATATGGGAGTGGGATACATGGTGAACACTTCCTCTTCTCTGAATTTTGTATTGTAGTTTCTACACAGTTTCTAGTCCTTGAATTTAGGCTGCATCATTTGGAGGAGCAAGTGCTGGGGCAGGGACTGGTGGAGAGGGAGCTAGAAAAGTCATCTGATGGCATTTCAGGCTGTGACTTTTAAATAGCAGGAGCTGATTCCCATTTCCTTTCTCCCACTGCTGCTTGCCTCCAATGTGCTCTACCTCCTGCTGCCATTCATGTGGTCTGCCACAGGAGCGTGGGCTGTATTTTTTTTTTCCTAATTTGACTAAGAGCATATTTCCCATTCTAAATCCTTAATGAAGACAAAAGGCCTGTATTGCAGGGTAGTAAGATACTAACCCGAAACATATTATTAGCTGGGAAGACTCATTCTCCTTATGTCCATGTTTTTGAATGGCTTAATTGAGGAAAAGAGAGATCTTCTGTTGAATACGGCAACAATGACGGTGGAATGATGGAGATGCTGTGATGCCAGCTTTCTTGGAAAGCTTCATTAAGAGATTATTAAAGTGATTGTAACCGATTCTGTTACAGATCAGAGTGCTTTGATCAGGCAGCCCTTTGCATAGCAATCTCTCAAGGGAGAAAATGAGTGTTTCAGAGGCTCTGCACATTTAATTTTGACTGATCTCTCATTAAGTATTTTACAAGATAGAAAAGGAGAAAAATACTCAAGACATTATTGGGATATTGTTCATGTACTCTACGTAGGAAGTGAACAAGTCTGCATGTACATTTTAATTTCACTGCCTCTTCCAATCTAACCCTCTAGCAAAACAGCCAAATATTCCACTCAAGACTATAACTTGCCTCATTTCTGTGCTATCTTCTCTCTTGAACTTTTCCAGATTTAACTGTCATGCCTCCTCTCTACACAGATGATTCTGGAAAAGCATGGAGTGCCTGTTTTTAAAAATGAAGGGAGAAGGAAGGGGAACAGGTTCTGGGAATTGTGGTCTTTTTAACTTAACATCAATTTCTAGTAAAACATTAAAATGTGAAAAATGTTTCTAAGACCTTTCAGGAGTCAGGGAAAGAAATTATGACCTAGAGAGATGTGCAAAGAGTAAATGTGAGAAACCAATGTAATTTCTTGTTAAGATAAAGCCTTGCAGAAAGAAAAGACAAAGAATATTACATATTTTGTGCTATAGTAGGGCTTTTGACACTGTTTCATATGACATTGTAAAGAGTCTCAGAAAATAATCGTGACAGGATGGATGTAGAACAAGATGTAAAATTAGATGTGTTTGGAGCCTTTATGCAAGTGTCACTATCAAAAGATTTCAAGCATGGCTTGCATGGGCCTCTCTTTGGCACTGCCTAGTACTTTCATTTGCAGCTTTACTAATGAAATACAGGGGTTTCAGGTTAACTTTAATGATGACTGAGTCATGCCGAGGGCATGGTTAGGTATGAAAATCAGTGAGTGATGCACTGTCATCCTGCAAAAGATTTTTTTTAAAAAAGAAAAGCATATAGCTTTTGTTGGAAGATATGTGCCTTTTTGTCAGTGTATTACTAAAGAACTGTGAAAATTAACATTTAAAAATGGCAAGAAAACACTTGGCTTTAACACTTGAGATGTCTGGTCCTTGATATTATATAATTTGGTAATTGAAGCATTAATTTACAGAATTATTTATTTATTTATTATTAAATCATGAGGGACTTAAATCATGAGGGGCTTAAAAAATCCCTTACTGTCTCCTTAGAGCAGCAAACCTCTGGCTTAAAGTCAACTGAGGTTTTGTCCCAGCAGGAGTGTCTACATGAGGTCGGCTGTGATTTGTTCTCTGCAGAATTGCATTTCAGGGCTATGGGCTAGGTTAAGGCAAGATGTAATAGTTGGACAGGCTAGCATCAATGCATTTGGTACTCATGGCACTGGTCCAGATCCGTGAACTTGTTCTTTAGATGTATGTTGTCATCATAACTATAATGAGGCTGCTCGTGCTGTACTTTGGGAAGCAGTGCAGTATAAAAGTCTTCAGTCTGCTCAGAGCTAGATATTTTGGTTGATCTTCAGCTTGCAGTGTATAAACCCATTCCTCTCTGTTTTTTCTTTTTATTCTTCCACTTTTCCTTTTCCTCCCTTCCTTCTCCTCAAGGACATAGACTGGCAATATTTTTCACAACTGGGTGAAGCTAGAAATCCGAGCAGATGCCTGTGCCACCACCGCCGCCACCTCCTCCTCCACCACCTCCACCGCCACCTTCGGGAGGGCCCCCTCCACCACCGCCACCTTCGGGAGGGCCCCCTCCACCACCACCACCACTGGTAAGATTGACTTTTCATTTCTGTGTGCAAAAGCTTAGCTGTAGTAGTCAGCTCAGAGCCCACAGGGTTTTGGCATGGATATTCATAGCAAGTATCTGGGGCAGATGTTTGTTTTGCTGGCACTGATTCTGTTCTGATTACAGCAGTGATCTCCAGAGTGGGGTGTGTGAGATGATCCATTGATATGTGGGATGAAAATACTGCAATCTCAGTCATACATGTGTATATTTTATAAAGAAATAAACTTATGTGTTTTGGGGTGCATGCTCAAAAATTTTGTTACTGCTAGGAGTGCATGATCAAAAGGTTTTGAGATGATTAGAGTGCAGATGGTGAGAATTTAGCATTTGTGAATACTTTTCCAGCCAAAGGGAATTCATTTTTGTATTGGTAATGCTACAGATGGTAAGTATTAATTTCTTCCTCCTTTTTCTTACAGCTCCTATTAAGACTCACAGTGTTCAGCTGTACATTTTGCCCTTTCTAGCACACAGTGTCTTCCTGGGGATACAGCACAATATTCTTTTGTACATGTGCAGGAACAATTACAGCTTGTAGCAGATCATTACTGTGTGTGTCATGAAGTAGAACATGTGCCTTGCCAGCATGTTTGCAATAAGAGGAGGATGCTCTGGGTGAACTTTCAGGGTATTACATTTTCATACCTTCACAATCAATTATTGTACCTATTGTAAAACCTGTTTAAGTAATTCCTTGAATTCTGTGATCAGTTGGTCATAACCTGTTTCTGCATTGAAATTCTTAGACATTTTTTGAAAAAGTGGAACCTGGCACGGTTTGTTCAAGTCATAAAATCTCCCCTGACTTTTTTTCATACATTTTGCCATCACTGCTGTGGTTATTTGCAGAGTATGTTAGACTGTGTAGCAAAACAGTGCATGGTACTTAAAATGTACTTAAAATGTACTTCAAGTTTATTTTTTTTTAAGAACTACGTTTCTCTATTGCATTCCTTGGCATCTCTGCCTGTTTCATTCCCAGAAAGGTTGGTTGATTTTGTTTGGTATTGTTCATAATGCTCTTATTTTATCTTTTTTTTTTCCAGAAGGAGGTTTCTTTGCAAGTTTCTTTCTGCTACTTTACAGGCTGAACAATTTTGTAAAACTCCCCATGAGTTGTGGAGATGAAGAGGAGGAGGAGGATAAAGACAGCAAATCAAATAAGCTGTGTTTGATTCTTTTCAGCATTCAGCTTCAACTTTGGCACCAGGAGCAGTGTTTCCAATTAGCAATTCTTCTGGGCTGGTACGCAACCTATACTTAGATGCTGAAATAAGTGGGCTGCATATTGTGAGCAGCTTAATGCTCACAACTGCCATTAAAGTCAACAGAAGCTACAAATGTTCTTATCCTAATAAATTTAGATCAGTAAAGTATCTAGAGACATTTTTAGACTCCTCTAACATCCACCAATTATAAATGGCTTGAGAAAGCTAAAAGGACCCCTAAGGGTCATTATGAACAAGTTTAGGATTTTTGTTTCTGCTTCCCTTTTCTGACAACTAAACCCACTCCCGTGGTAGGGTTTTGATACAAGAAGGCTTGTTTTCATATTGTAGTTGGATCATTCTGTTTCAAATAAATGGTCTCTGTATAAGACATGCAGAATTTTGAGTCGGCTCCATCTTGGTGACATGATACATACTAGATGTGTTTCTAGTTATTGTCTGATATTGAAGCTTTGCTTTTAATAAGTCTTGATACTAAAAAGAGTATATGAATCAACAGAAATAATTAATAAAATAGCATGGTAGGACATTGTTTTTTCTGCAACAGCAAAATTACTTTTCCCTGTCTAAACTGAATGAGAGACAGGATCAGGAATCTGCCTGGTGAGTTCAGCAGAAGCACAGAGTAGGAGGCTGCTCTCCAGCTGGTGCCAAGTTACGGAGTAAAACCTTATAGTTGGGGAGTCTTCAGAAACTTGCTACAGACCCTATTTTCTTTTACTGGTAAGCCCTTTTCTAGAAATTGGCATTTGTCTTTTACAGTTGCTGATCTGCCCAGCTGTTGTTACAGCTGCTAGATCTACAGTTGGGGATGGAAGAAGGAAAAATTTTTACAGGCGTATAGCTTTAAGGAAAACCTTCAAAGCAAATAACTTATTATTTGGCCAACAGCTGGAGAAGTTCCAAAGTAAACAGCACAGTGATTTTTATTATACTGGTATGATTAAATCAGAGTACGATTTGCGTGTCAGCAATTAAAAGTTAGGTTTTAATTTTACTATTGATATGTGGGTGAGCCACTAGTTTAATTTATGTGATTTATGTTAAAAGAAAAATGTCTGTGTGTAGGTGAGGTTTTAGGACCTGTAGTTTTTCATGATGCTATTGCAGGGGTACCACGGACTTGTCTTGCTTTTGTAGTTATGGATGAGCACCATACTTTCCTCTTGCTTTCACTATCAAGAGATTTTTAGCAGAAGTAGTCACCACATTGTTTTCTCTGCACATTTTCTTTGCTAATAATTGTGAGCCTTGAATCCAAATAATTTTGCAGTTCTTACTTCATGGAAATTCTAATCACTGTTGGCACATAACTTTTTTGTCCTGTTGACTCTTAAGGCAGAAAAAGCGTCCTTCCTAGTGTTTTTTGGCCTTGTCCCTACTGTTTTCTAAGACTTTTGCACTTGCTGATATTCTGTAAGTACTTGCACTGAATTTTGTTCACAAAAGTTGTTACAAGACAATACAAAGTGATTTGGAGATGGTATTTAAGACATGCTAAGAGCCACCTGTGCCCCACAGCCAAAGAAACTACTGGCTGTTAGACCAAACCTAAAAGGAAACAAATTGCTGGATTTCTCAGGAGGGAATGGTGGGATGTCTGCTGTAGCAGATGCAGGTGGCTGAGTCAAAATGCAAATACAACTAATTAGATTAATTGACCATGTCTTCAAATGCCTACCTTCTGGGGGGTCATAGAGATGAGAGGGGTGAGTAGGCAGAATAAAACTATGCCCTGGTGTATTTTCTGGCACTGGCTTATAGAATTCGATTCTCTTTATGTTCCCTCTTCCTCTACACCTTAACAAAGCACACTTACACAGGAGGCTTTTTCTAAAGCTCTTTTAGTTTATGGGCATGCCATGTAAGGTAGGTTGTTTTAGTAGTTTTTGTTGGTGGTCATGGGGATAAGATTGGTAGTTGTGGGTTATTTTTAAAGCTTTCTGCTCACGAAAAATTTAATTTTATTCCCAATCTATTTCTTTTACCAGTCCTGCCTTTAAGCTTGGCGTATGAGGCAACCAGGTTAGTTTTGGCTTGTCATATTTTCTGGAGTGTGTGTCACCACTGAGACGATTAAAATTTTTCTCTAACTAATTTCCCAAGAAAAGGATCAAGAGAGAATTTTGCTTTGATAAACCCTGTTCACTTATTACCTGCAGTGAAGGCTGCTTACTGCTGTGTGGCCTCTGTATATATGAATTTGTAATGTTAAGATCAGTCATCACCTATTAAAATGTTAATATTGGAGGAAGTGTGGATGTGTAGCAGCCCTGCTGGGTTGTGCCTTACTCAGAGATGTTTGTTTAATGATTCATATGTTTGTGGAGTTTAAGAAAATACTTCTGTTCTCTTTAGAAATGTTATGAATAAAGAAAATTTCTTAGCATAGAAATTAACCCCCAAAATCACAATGGATCAGATGATTAAAGCTCATAAAGTAGCACCAGGTGTTTATTTGCTGCCTTGTTGCACACTAGAAACAAGGATAGCAGAAGGAGAAAGTAAAATGCTTACTTTGGTGATAGAAATGTGAACCTTGAAACAATGGTGAATGCTAGAATAGCATGTGGATTAAGCATAATAATTACCTCATCCTTATTAAGTTAAGAATTTTAAAAAATTAAAAACAGAATGACTGTTGTAGATAAACCTGTCAGTATTTACCAAGTTTTTTATTCTCTTCTTATTTTCTACTCTGTAATAGAAAACTCAGAAAAGCAATTCTTCATGATATAATGTTATGATAAAATCCTGATTTACACAGAAGGATTTCCGAGGTTGAGAAAAACATCACCTGATAGTTTTCCTTGGGGGGGGGATGTTTTTTCCCCTCCTTCATGCAGTTGTTAGATTGAAAACCTTGCTGAGCTGTTTCCTTCAGCTTCACAAGAATTTCAGAGAGCTACAGTGTTCATCTGAAGTTGTGTGGGAGTTGGTTTTGCTCCTCTGACATTTAGCACTACTGTTCTTTGGAAAGAGAACAAACAGCATATGTAAAACATCTTGGCTGAAGATAGTGATGATTTATGGTATTTTGATTTGATCTTACCAAATATAGTATGAGTGAATATGCACATATGAGCACTCATATGCATAAATTTTTGGTCATGCTTGCTAATTATTTATTGTAAAAATTAAAGTAATCTCTCAAGTTTCTATTCAGACCCCTAGACATGCAAGTGTAATACTGAAAGAACAGCATTGTGCATGGTGCCAATAGCAAAATACTTAGGAATGTGTTTATTAAAATTTTATCTGAGGTGTAAGATCATGTGTAGGTAGTACTTTGTCATGGAGCCTAGGGAGATAGTAAAGCACAATATTTATTGCTGATAGGTAATACCTATCACCAGAGTGAGGGAAAGTGCAGGCTTGGTAATCTTGTTGCTGTCTGACTGATCATACAGACTGTGCTGAGGGCTGGACAAAGCACAGCTGAAATTTTTGAGTGCTTTGTTCCCGATGAAATAAAGCATACTGATTTACAGTGTTTTAATAATATATCATATCTCACACCGTCTGCTTTCATAAAGAAATGAGAGTCAATCATGTAAAAAAAAAAAAAAAAGCTGTATCTTTGTGTGGTTTGACTTAATTTTCAGCTGTTGGAAAATTGAGATTGCATAGCTGTGGTGTCTCAAAGTGTTGCTGCTGTAACTTTCTGTATTTCTGGTCAAAAAATACAGAAAGAGTAAGTGGGAGCTGTGAAATGTGGGAAAGATGAAAAGAAAACATAAATACTAGACTG